GGCCACAGGCCGCGGGCTAATTTTACGCTCCTATCAATGTGAATGTTAACTTGTCAATGTGAATATTCATATTATCAACAGGCCAAGCCGGGCCTATTTTTTTGGCCTGTGGGCCGGCCCGGCCCGACTCAAATTTTTCCGGGCACCCACGAGGATCGACATGGGCCGGGCCCCTACACATTGACGATATGAACATTTACGTTGACGGTGTGAACATTCACATTAAGGGTATTTTGGTAATTATGTCACCCATAGGACTTATTGAAATATAAGAAAATAATGTGAACTAAATGGAACATAAGTAGATGAAAAGGGTATTTTGGTCTTCTTATCACAAATTGGACCTAATGGAATAGTCAAAAAGAATATGGGTTGAATGGAATAAAACTCTTAGAAAATGGATTTATCAAAAAAGCTCCCATAAAAAAAATTAAAAAAACTCACTATGGCCAATGGTGATTATTCAATACTCTCGGGGTATGGACACGTGATGTTTCATAAGATTTTAATTGGTGGAGAGACATAAGGAGCCACAATTTATGTTGGGAATAGAATAATAATATGAAACTAACTAATTAATAATTAATTTGGAATATGAACGCGAGATGTTCCGAGTATGAAACTAACTAATTAATAATTAATTTGGAATATGAACGCGAGATGTTCCGAGAGTATTGAATAATTTCTCCTACGGCCAATGTATTCGCTTATTTGCTTTTGTTCGTTGGTCAAACGAGAAGAAACAGATAGCAGGCACTTGCTCAGGTGGTAGTGAATATGGCATTCGCTCTTTCGCTATCATTTTCCGCCCGAGTCCAGATCTTCTATGGTACTCTCTATAATGCTCCTGTGATTGTCAAACGACGCCATTTTAATTATTTTTTCTTTTTTCTTTTTTCTAAATCTCTAACAAGAAATGTTGTAGAAAAATAACTTTTACCAACTTTTCAAAACACGCTTTATCCTTTAACTCCATTTGGTTGGGTCTCTGATCAGTTAACCGCTCTGAACACTCTCTCTCTCTCTCTCTCTCTCTATATATATATATATTCCCATTCTTGGAAAGAATCAACAATGGCGGATCAAGAAAGAAATACAGTGACCGCCGATGATGCAATGTCTTCGTCTTCATCGTCTTCTTCTTCGTCGGACTACAATCTATATCTCCCAATCAAAATCATCTTCGACATTCTGAATCGTCTCCCAGTCAAATCTCTCCTTCGATTCAGGTGCGTATGTAAAACCTTCCGCCACGTCATCTCTAACCCTACCTTCATCTCCTCCCACCTCCTCCACCACCACACCAACACCATCGCCGCCACCATTTTCACCTTCAAACACCGCTCCTCCTCCATTCTCTCTATGTTACAATCATCCTCATCGTCTCAAAACCCTACCATTCTGGTCCACGCCTTTCCCAACCACACTCGCGATCTACACCTAATCGGCTCCATCAATGGCCTCCTCTGTCTCTCACGAACCCTTCATTTCCATCAATGCATCCTCCTCCTCCTCTGGAACCCCGCTACCAAACTCTTCAAATCTGTCCCCCTTCCCACCATCCAAATTTCTCTTAGGTTTCTTCAACTCTCTCTCGGGTTCGGATTCCGATTCCATTATACTACTTCTTCTAGTGACTACAAGGTTGTCAGGATAGTTTCTTTCAAGTCACATACCCAAGTCGAGGTCTACTCTTCAATTTCTGATTGTTGGAGAGAGATTCAAGTTATGGATTTGCGCTTTTATATCCATAAATTGTCTTGTGAGGTGATTGTCAATGGAGCTCCCTATTGGTTTCTCTCAACTACTTCAAATCATTGTCTTTGCTTCACATGGTTTGATGTTCAAAATGACGCTTTTGTCATGTTGCCGGGGCTCGATTTTTCTGGGTCCTACAACGGGACTTCTGTCTACTACAAATTAATGGATTGGAAAGATAATGTTGTTGTGGTTGTGTGTTGTCCTGGCAACCCATGTGTTGATGTGTGGATGCTAGAGGATCGTTGTGGCGGTGAGAGCAATTGGTGTAAGAAATTTGTGATTAGACCGATTTTGGGTGTTGAACGATTTGGGTTGTTGCAATGCACGAAGAATGGTGAGATTATAGCAGAAGATGCACGGGAAAGGATATTCTTGCACAATCCCCGAAATGGAGAGACTAAGTATATTCCTATCAGTGGAGTTGAGTTCAAAGCTTTTCACTATGTAGAGAGTTTGGTTTCAATCAAAGGATTCAAACAACAAGAACTGAACAATCAGCACTGATGTTCTGCAAAGGTCAATTCATCACTCGATCAGATAAATAACTCAAGCATTTGTTTATGCTACTTTCTGCAATGCATTTGGTTTTTGAGCTTTTGGTAGCATATGAATGGATAGCTTAGACAAAATGGATAGTTAAGACAGTATGGATAGTTGATATTCCTTTAATTCCTCTGATTGGATAGCTTAGACAATTTGAATAGTTAATATTAGCTAATTCCTCTTATTTGAGTTTCAATCCTGTTTCATTTGCTTTTACTTTCCTTCAAAAACAAGTGTTCAAGTCCTTTCCTTCAAATTTGGGAATTAGTACAGAATTTTATCCTAGTTAAGGGATGGAATGGAAATAATTGGAGTTTTGTCTGTGTAGTTTGTAGACTGCTTTGCAATGTTTTCTATGCTTCTGCCAGAAGGATCTAATATTTCCTTTCTCTCATGCTATGTTTGGTTATGGAATTTGGGAAAGAATTTGGAAAGGGAAAGGAAAAAGATGTGCAAAACTAGGTGAAATGTAAGTATATTTCTATGCTTCTGCCAGAAGGATCTAATATTTCCTTTCTCTCATGCTATGTTTGGTTATGGAATTTGGGAAAGAATTTGGAAAGGGAAAGGAAAAAGATGTGCAAAACTAGGTGAAATGTAAGTATATTTTATTCATATTTCAGCTAGCTTTTCTTTTTTCCTTTCCAAATCTCTTCTCAAATTTTCCAACCAAACACAGCGTCAATGAATTGGCACAATTCTTGATGTGTCTGCCTTCATTTTTTTAGGTGTTATTTCTATTAACATGGGTTTTTTTTAATCTTTTATTTTTGGATAATTGTTGCTGGATCTACTAGTCCTTTTGAACCTTTTGCCCTAGATATGGGGTGAGATCTCTTGATGAGAAGAGAAAAGTGCAAAACCAAGTTAGATGAGCAATATGTGTTGGATGAATGGATTCTTAAAAACTGCTACTGCATTCTCTTTGTTTTTGTATATGTTAAGACCATTCATTCTTGGCCCACAGTAATTATCTATTCAAATATTTAAAATTGTTTTAACATATAATTCATCTATAATATTCATTAGGAATGATAATTTGGGATTGTTTTGCCAAACTTCCAAGATATGTTGAAATGTGACATGTTCTTGACTCCCTGCCTTTTTTTTATATCTATGCATAATGATAGTTTTGCTACATTTTGTCATGTCTCTAGATGTTTATTCTGCATGAAGATAGGATAATGCCCTTTGATGCTATTGCATTCTTCTTGTACTATATGCTATTTGAAATGAAATTTTGTCTGGCTTAATCAAACAGTGGATATCGATTCCCTTTCTCAGGTTTCTCTTTGATTTCGGAGCACATGTTGTAGCTAATTCAGTGAATAGATTCATGGTTCACGCCTTCAATTCATCGTGTGCACTTAACCTGAATTGCAATCTTGAGATAAGTGTACTTAATCTTTTATCGCGGATCAGTCTGTGGTAAAGGAAGTCAACTCCTATATTTAGAGAAGAAAGAGACAGAACGATAGATGTGATGAGGGCGCGGAAGAAGAAGTGGGAGGGAGGGGAAAATGAGGCACAACAGGGGCTGGGAAGAAAGGAGATGACATCGGGGCCTGGAGAGAGGGTGGTGCCAAAGCTGAATTTGGAGGTGGGCAGTAGGTAGTGGCAGTGGTTGGTGGTGTTATGTACTTAGAGATTAGAGTTAGAATTTTATACAAGAGAATAATTTAATCAATCGTGCTGGGAACCCCCTAGTGGGGTGACCCCCAGCACCCCAGCTCCACGTGGGGCGCTATGCTCTCAAGACAAAAAAAAATAAAAAATTCAACCAATCAAAAAATAATAGGGGTGGTGGGGGTCATCCCCACTAGGGGTCCAAGACATTTCTCTAATTTAATTAAGGGACAAAATTGAAAGATGGTTGGAATTGAGAAATTAAGTGGGGTGTAAATAGAATTATATAACAATGTCATAAATAAAGTTGGACTGATCATTTATAAGGATTTTACATAGACTCCGCCACAAAAATGAATGACTCAAATTTATTTGTAACATGATTCGGTGACTGTAATATGAATAATTACTCTAGTGTAAAATTTTAAAGGCTCTCCATTACTTGGTGTTGGTGGCATCAAAATTAGATATTTTTTAATTGGGTAAATTAGATTGGTTACTCTTAAAGTTTCAAAAAATATAACAAGATTTACAAATTACATCACCTTTTAAAATTTAACAGAGGGACACTCATACAAATGATATATATATATATATATAAGAATAAATAAAGGTAAAATATATTTTTGAAGTAAAAAAATAACAAAATTATTAAGTAATGAATTTTATGAAAATTATATTAAGTATTATATGATTTTAAAATGTTTCAAGTATAATTATAATCGAATTTATGAAGTCAACGTATTTTTTTTCAAATCTCAAGAAAAGTTATGTAAATTATCTTAAGAGTGTTTGGCATCCAGTTAAAAAGTTACTTTTTTAAAAACATTTTTGGTGTTGCTCATTTTTTTTTTAAAACTTATGTTAATTTCCTTTTTTTTCTTTTTTAACTTTGCAGGGCTAGTTGACCGAATCCAAAATGTTAAAAAAAGTTTTAAAAAAAAAGTTTACGTAAAGCAAAATAATTAAAGAAGTTATTTATTTTTTTGACTTTTTATTTTAAAGGAAAATTAGTCCTACAGGTCTATCTCCATTTTTAGGTAATGGAAGAGTATCCACAATATTATGTTTTGATGTCTAAGGTCCCTAAAACCCACAACCATATAATCAAATCAGAGAAATTACTCTTTGCTATGTCTAGGATTTTCATTCATATCCAACAAACCCTTCTCTTTTGTGCACATTCCTCTCTCTTCCTCTGCTCCTTCATCCCTCTCCTCGAGTCTCATTCTCCAGACGCCGTCGAGCCATGGCAAATAGGGTCCCGCGAGAGTTGTTGACTCAGCATCGTCTTTGATCGGAATTGGTGTCGTGGCTGCAAATCCAGATCAAAGCAATGCCCTGAGGCTTTTTGTTGCTTGGGATTTGCCCGATTATGTGTTCAGAAGTTCTATTTTGCCTAGAGTACGTAAAGTG